GTGTGGGGGCGGGGCGGGGGGCCCCCCGCCCCCCCCGGGGGGTGGGGGGGGGGGGGGGCGGGGCACGGATCCTGCCGGGCTTTGCTGCGATGGGCGCTCGGGGTGAGTCGGGGTCCTCTTCTGGGCTGGGAGCCGGGTGTCCGCTTTCCTTTGGGCCAGAGCAGCGCTGGGGGAAACCCAGTTCGTTGTGAACCGCACCCCCCCGCCCCCCCCCCCCCCCCCGCCCGACCCCCCGCGGAAGGCGGCCGAGCCGCTGGGTCAACGCTATTTGGCAGCGCAATCCTGCAGGCTCGCTGGGTAACGACGGGACGGACGCTGCTCGGAGGGGTTCTCCTTTAAAGACATCGCTGCCCCCCCTGCCACGAGGCGCTGGGGAAGTCCCCCCAGGTGCTCCTCTCACACAGACCGAACCCCTCACAACACGGCCCAGCGCACCAGCCTTTAATTAAACTTCCAGAACACTCGAACGACTCGCTGCGCTTTTCTGGGCGCTCGCCACGGTGCAGATCACGCACGCACATAAGCAAAGAGGCAACTTGTCTTTAGGTAGTTATTTATTGCTAAAGAGACTGGCTGCGTCACAGCCTCAACGTGCCGCTACACGGGTGTTCCCTCACACTGCGCCTCTTTCTCCTTTGCAGCTCTCGCTCTCGCCTGCCACTCTCTTCTCCGCTTTAGCCTCTCCGGTGCTTTCAGCTTCCGCACCTCCTGAAAAACCTGTGGGAGAAGCATAAGGAGGTGAGAGAAGGGAGAGACAAAGCTGCTGCCACCGAGCAGAGCTGCTCCGCCACCGCTGCTTGCTGCTGGGCGCAGCACGGATCCCAGTGCCTGCAGCAGAGGCCAGGAGGCGCGCCGTGCAGCGAGACCAACTCCTTCCCGTGCGCTTCCTCCGGGACTCCAGCCAGCCCTGTTTTCAGGGTGCCATTCGGAGGCACCCCGTTACAGCTACCCAGTCTTTTGGTGATAATTTATTGGACTGAAATTTAGTATTTACAGACTGAAGGCAAGTCCAGCTTTCTGACTCCGCTCAGCTACCCTAAGGTACGTCGCACACAGCTGCTACACCGATGTATTTAGAGCAAAGGAGAGTAGACAGCGGGCGTACGCACATTTCTGTTCCAAAGCTGCCACCAAATTTAATTGTCTCACATATTAGTTCCCCACACCAGGCTCTGAAAAAAAGCTGTTTTGAATCATACGTTTCTGAGCAAACTCGTAGCACAATCTGAAGTTCTCAAGCACAGTACATCCGCAGCACATGCGTCGCTGCCCACTACAGAACTGTCTTTCGTGGAGCTCTTTGCCGAGCTTATGTATTTCTCTAACACATTTATCATCGCCTCCACAAATTCAAAGCATGGATTAAAAGGACTTATCTATCAGCCTTTTCCAACTGTCTTAACTGTGCCCTTCCATAAAGAGATTTTTTTTCTACTCCAGCTACACGGCTCTCTCTCCATATAGCTCCATACCTTGAGACAGAAAGCCTTCTTCACAACCCAGCGCTTGGTGACCCTTCTGGAGTAGGGAGGGGGTAGGGTGTACTGGATGTTCAGCTGCTTGCAGGTGTTTTCAAAGGTATCATAGCGGACACGGCGAAGATACGCAAGTAGCTTCTTCCGGCGATCTATATCCATCAGCATGCGGCGACGGTTATTTTTATCCTGCAAAGGACTCAATGTTCACTAGATTGCAGACAGATTATACTTCCGTTCCAGTAAATTACTTAGAACAGACCAGATTATGGCTGAAAGGAAACAATCAGGTTAAGGACAGTATCTTAGAACAACTTTTCTTGGCAGATACTGCAAGCACATTAGGTCACTACAAGGAGATCCGAGACGACTTAATTTACTTTTCACTGAAATTGCTTTCTCCATTCCGTGTCTGCACCTTCCTCCCCCAACCCTGAAGACTTTTCAACCTGTATGCAGTTTCAGGCAGCGGCAAAAGCTGCAATGGCTTGGAGGCAAAGGCTGTAGGGAAGGTCTGCCGGCTAAAAACTCTCCTTCCCCTGAAATGTATTGTTCCAGAAACAACACAGAGGCGTTTACCTTTGTTTTTCCAGAAATTAAATGTGAAAATAAGATGTGACTTGGCTCTATCTGCCCATTTGGGTTGTTCTTTGGAAGAGGCTGTGCGTAGCTTGAGCCATGCCATTCAGTGCAATCCCCCATGGGAGGAACTGCCCTTACACAAGCAATTTGTGTAAAAAGCAGGCTTCATCCAAGTAATTTCAAAAGGTCTCTTCTGCTGAAACATTTGGTACGGTTTCTTATAAAAACTGAGTTTTACTCTGTTTTACCCTTCAAGCTTTTATGATTAACAAATAATCATGCACTTTTTTCAAATGCAGTTGATTAATCCATTTCCCACCTTTTGCACTACAGAAAGAGTCTTTAATATATCTTGTTCATAAACTCGTAGTTGTGATGTTTCGAATTTGGGCTCCAAACCCAGGTAGCTTTAGGTAGGAAAGAGGTTGTTATGACATTAACACGGTCCTGTCCACCAAACATCTTCACAGGCAGAACAGAGAGAGAATACAGCTGCTGAAGTGATAACATTAATTACACTGAAAAGTAAGCGGTAAAGCCACATCCGCAGCAAGGAAAAATTCAGCTGAACTCTGTTCAAAGGTATCTGCTCAGCCATTTCCACCAATCCAGTAACAAAAAAGAACACGCTCCACATTTCAGTCGGTGAGAAGGTAGCTGTGACTGAGCCAGCAGTTCCCCAGACTGGCACCAGGGAACAGTTATAACTATTTTATAAACCTCCTTAGGAAAACCATAATCCCCAGAATTAAAATCCTTTTGTTCTAAACTGAGAAAACAACCTGAACAGCTGCTGTCTCAGACGTGTGGGCTCAGATTACTGATAGTTACCTTGGGATGCCTCTGAAGATGTTCCTCGTAAGTGCGTATCTTGGCAGTCAACATCGCAACTATAAAGAACAGACATAAGAAGCCGTGTGAGAACAGCAGCTTTCTGGGGTGAGACAGTATCATTTGCACTCCCTTCAAATTGCCAGTTGAGGACTGCTGTTCTTATGGGCACCCACCGCACCACAGCAAATATTACCACACAGCCCTCTGAATAAATGCAAAATGAACCAAAAAATATAGCCTACATAACCCGAGTCAGAACTATTACTATTATGAAGCTGCTTAATTAGAGGTTGAAATTTTAACAACAGATCATAGGAATTTATCTGTAAAATGCCTCTTGCATTGCTGATGACTCTACATTCATTTCACTTCACTTGGTTTAAACTTTGGAGGAACAGACACAAATTAAGAGCTTCTTACTAAGAGCAGCAGCCGGCTCTTTGCGATTTCAGGCTTTGGAGAAAGGGGCTGGTGGCATCCCAAGAAATTGAAGGCCTTTATTAATGATACAGGAGCGCATCTTGGTCAATGGCAGCGTGTTCTTCATCCCTGCACTGTCCCTACACTGTGCTTCAGCCAGGGCTCTCTGATGCAGAGGGAAATTTGGGTTCCATGGCTAAATCTAGTAGTTTATTTTGGTAATGAATGCAGTGCAATGCTTCATGTCATACAAGCACTTCAAGCAGAATAATGCACATGCTGCCTTTGGAGGGTGGATATGGAGTAGGAATTTGGAAGTCATTCTAGCAGACATCTGCCAGTAAGTGCATGCACTGCCTCTGCAACGTTCCCAAACCCTAACAGGTCCTCCAGGGCGTACTGCAGGCCACCTGCCTTTCAGGTGCTCTCCTGAAGGAGACTCTCCCAACTGATACAGGAAACTTGAAGTGCTGGGGTGGGAATAGCTGAATAAAAGCAGAGGTGTATCATCTGCCAACAATATCCTTCTACTTTTTTAACTTACCTTGCACCTCAAAGGAGCCATTGTCGTTGGGAGACCTCCTGACCTTCTCCACCAGCTGCTGTGTCTTTATTTTCATCTTCTCCTTCTGTGTATAACAGAAAAGAGCTTGTCACTTTCTCAGGAACACTAAAGGTCTGAGACACCCCAGCTCTCTTCCCAAATGCCCAGATAAAGGCTTTGTAATTAATAGCTTTACTCAATGTCCATCACAAAATGTGTAAAAAGTGCTGCAGAAAAGGACCTACTGCTTTTGAGACAGTGGTCAGAGTACAGCAGCGAAGCAGCACAAAACGACCTCAGCAGAACACACAATTGCCATCGTTCAAATGAAGAGTCCAGGCACGCCCTTCACCCCAAGATTGCAGAAGAAGGGTGTTGAAGAGGCCCCGCTGCTCTCAGAAATGGAAGAGAGGACTGAAGCTGATCTCACATGGCAGTAGCCTTTATTTCTCACATCTTTTTAAGCTTAATGAGTAAGCAGCAAGAAATGGTAAGATCTTTGTGCTACCTTACGATTTGCTTACTTTGTTTTCTGGGCATACAAAAAGTAGAAGTGATTTGAAGAACATCTGCTGTCCAGTGTACTATTTTCTAGAACAGAGGCCAACCATCAGCAGTAACATAACACAGCTCATCTCCCCTGTGATTGCCTAATATTTTCTTCTCTCATTTTAGTATGCAATTACCATCATAAAGAAGACTGCATGATAAATTTTAAGAGCATACAAGACTTATCACTCTAACATATTTAATAGCCCCAGATTTGCAGTCACTGAGCAACGCTTAAAAATAAAGTAAGTGAAGGGCATTTAATGATATAGACAAGTCTTACACAAATGTGCTCGCTAAATCCTCTAGGTTTTTTTATGCAAGTAGAATGAAACTAACCTGGCTTGCCATCTCCAGTGACAACAGCCTTTTCACTACATCGTCAACACTGCAAGGAGATTGCAGATTAGTTTATAAGCTAGAAACAAAGTATATTTAACAACAGAAATGAGGTTAGGTTTTCAGAACACACTAACTTTTCTCAACTTCCATTTACTCCACAAATTTACAGCAACTCTCCTCCCCTCCCAAACCTGTCAGCCATAAATCGTTTCTTGCATTCCTAAGAAAAATCATGGCTGAGATTACAGAAGCATCGAGCAGTTTTGCTGCTGTGGGAAGCACAGTTATTTAAAATGATGACGAAGTCTTATCAATTCCAAAAACATTACGTGCAAACTGGGTGCTGAAGACTAACCCCCAAGTAAGTGCGCAAGGACAAAATAATTAATTTTAAGACCAGCTCCTTCAAAGATCTGTGAAAGTCTCAGTTGCGCCACTGGGGGCTCTCCATGCACCACACATGAGCAGTTCTGGAATCAAAGCACAAAACCGCTAAACTCCGTGTCCAAATTGCAGAAGCAGCCATTCATTTTGAGTTGTTTAACTACGCATTCTCTAGCACCTGAGTTCAAGACAGGCATAGATTATTTCTAAGAAGATTACTTCTAGTATTTCAAGATTATTTCTTTTTTCTATGGACCACAAAGTCCACAGAAGATGTGGGGAACCAGCACTTAATCTTACATTAAGTAAACAAAAACCTTACACAACCCTAATCAGTGACTGCTTCTGCAAATTTGACTTTCAAAGAGACTTTGCAATTTTTGTGCTAAATTGCATGCCAGTGACCACAGAGCATTAATTAATTACTGAGCAGGCAACAGCTTCCACGTATTGTGGTTGTGTGTCTGTAAGATACAAATCTCTGAAGAGAATAGTAATTCCTTTTCCCCGCATCATACCTATTTATTATCGGGACATTGGCATAATCTTTCTTCAGCATTGTGGGAGGAAGATCGTCCAAATGGCTGGGGATGTCTACAGAGAGAAGATTAACATTTGAGGAGGAGCAGTACAAAGTCAGAGCTCTGAACACGCTTGCAAACTAGATCAGAGGAAACAAGTTGCAAAGAAAATAGACTGTACGCTCCAAACAAGGAAGAACTTGAGAGATCAAGCTGAGGTGGCAGGAATTGAGTGACTAAAATCGGGTCCAGTCTCTTGCCTTCAGCACTAACATGGTTTACAGTTCACCGAGATCAGTGATCTCTTGCTAATGACAATTGCTAATTTCCCACACATTCATGAGCTGCTGAACTTTCTGAGTAACTTTTGAGCTTGCAAGGAATTATTTCTAGAAGCACAGAACCACAAGAAGGTTTACAAAGGGACCCTATGAAGTTTCTAGTCCAATCTCCCCTTTGAAGTGGGACTGTCATCATTTCTTTGTCTAGCAAAGCCTTGAAAACCTCTGAGGATGGATATTCCACAGGCCCTCCGTGAAGCCTGCTCCCACGCTGCAGTGCCTTCCCAGCGAATCGTTTTTCCTTTTGTGTCCAGCTGGAACATCTCCGAGCTGCTATTTGGGACCACCGCCCCTCCTTACATCGTTTGGCACTACCAAGAAGAGTCTGGCTCCCTCGCCCTTGTAATTACCCATCAAGAAGCTGCAGGATTGCAGAATCCTGCAACAGGGGTTATATTTCCTCTCTCTTCTCATGATGAGTTCTGCATCTTTAAAGTGAAAACACTAATTTCTCCAAATACCCTCTCTTCCCGCAGCATTAGGGTACGACTCTGATAATGTCAACAGTAAAACATTTTGCCACGTGGTCCCATTAATCCTGACATACCTTTCCTCTTTCTTCTCACAGCTCTGGCGTAACATCTGGCTGTCTGAATAAAGGGACTGCAAGCTTGATGGAAGAAAACAAAGATTTATCAGACTTGCGTGCACTTTTTTAGCTATGCACACATAAAACACTGCTCAGTCTGTACTAGAAAACTGGTCAGAGTACTTAGACTCCAAGGTGATCAGTGGCCAGCCAGGTCTTTTGTCCCAAAGGAGTGTGGAACAGTTCAGTGTGGTTCTCACACGGGTGTTAAAACAAATGGGCGAAGCTGTGCCGCTTCAGGGTGATCTGAACCCAGACGACGAGAAGAACGGAGCAGCAGATGGAGATTACAGACACTGAGCAGAGAGCGCGAGGGCTCCCCGGCAGAACTGTGTTCATTTAGAGGGTTTAAGCTGATGAACTAATTCAAATAATTTCATGTGCAAGTTAGACGGGCTGCTCTGGACTACTCCAGCGGCAGAGCGCAGAGGCAGCGAGACCTAGAGACAACCTTTGGCCGGCACAGCTTGGTACAGATGAGAATATTCAGCAGCAGCCTGAATTGAGCCGTTCTTTGACCTTTCAAGAACGAACTCTTCCAACTGCTCTTTCAAGGCCCCTGCTACTGGAATCAATACCTGCTTCAGATTATTCGCCTGTGCCTCAAACACGTTTTCCAATACAGGCTTTGCCAGTCCACGTACCTGCCTGCACATGGAACTGGCCGAGAGGCACGCGAGCTCAGCTCCGGACCTGTGAGCCAGCGGAGCCGCGTGCGGGCTGCCGGCACACGCCGTGAGCGCAGGGCTCTCTGCACGCCCTCCCCACGCTTACCGTGCGGCAACAGCACCTGTGGAAGCCACGCCAGG